CTTTCCCGCGCAGACCCTCCGAGACGGCAATGGAAGGACAAGGTCTGTCAGCAAGACGGTCGAACTTGAGATTGATGCTAGCATGCTTTACGACTACTACCGCATGTACAATGTACTCACCATCGACGTACGAGACAGGACAGACTTCGACGCGGGACACATCTTCGTGCGGAACATCATGTGCATAGAGCCCTTGACCTTGCGCGATGGCGACTCCGCCGAGCAGCTTCTGGATCGTCTCATCATATCGCCGGATGAGGAACAAGACATGTTCGACAAGAGAGCCGACTTCGACGTGGTTGTATACTACGATGAGTCGACAAAGAACATCGACTTCATGCATAGACACAACCGATCTGACAGCGAAATTGCGTTGAAGCGGTTATTCGATACCCTGCACGAGTTCAACGCCGATAAACCGCTCAGGCGTCCTCCGGTTCTGCTCAAAGGCGGTCTTGACGCTTGGATGGACCTGGTGGGCCCACAGGCTTTGAAGACGTCGAACACTGCTGGACAAGTGGCTGCTGGTCCGACGCGGGCTCGGGCCATACGACGATCCCCAGCCGCCAGCCATATCGCGAGAAACAATACGCAGAGAAGATCGAAACGCGAATACGTTCCAATGGACCAAGAAGAGCAGCAACAGTGGCTGGAAGAAGCTCGAAAGGGGCGTGCTGCAGTCGAAGTGCCTCCGGCAGATGGTGAAGAGGAAGAAGAGCCTACACAGGATTTCTACCGTTCGACAGAAGAGTTCCTACGTCGATACCCCGATGTTGAAGCCGAGCAGTCATCCATGATGTACCCGTCCAAGTTCCAGTCGACCAATCAATACGTCGCACCTGCCATACCTGTTGCACCTTCGCGGCCGCCGCCTTCTGTTCCTAGGGTGAGCTACAGTGGCGTACACGATCGGCAAGAACAGAACCGCAATGTCGTCTACAACGGACAACCTCAGTTTAGTAACCTGAGGCTACATAGGACGGGCCTGCTGAACTTTGGCGTCACGTGCTACATGAACTCGGTGGTGCAGTGTCTCAGTGGGCATCTATTGCTTTCAGACCTGTTCCTCACCGGACGATATCAGCGAGATCTTCAACGAGATAACTGGAAGGGAACAAAGGGGATATTACCAGAGGCGTACGCGACGCTGCTGTCCAATCTGTACAAGGGGGATGTCACGTCCGTGCGCCCCAGCACATTCAGGGTAAGTCAAGAAATGGAAACAGTAACTAGGCATTGCTAACTTTGAACAGCGCATTTGCGGACACTTCAACTCGCAGTGGGGCATTGATGAGCAGCAAGACGCCAAGGAGTTCCTGGAATTTGTCCTAGACTACATGCACGAAGACCTCAACCTGACCTGGAACAAACCGCCACTCAAGCCACTTTCGGACCAGGAAGAGCTGCAACGAGAGAGATTCCCGAGGCAGTATTCAGCGATGATCGAATGGCGGCGATACCAGCACCGAGACATGTCGGTCATCGGTGGCCTGTTTGCCGGCCAGCACGCTTCGCAGCTTACGTGCCAGACATGCGGCGTGACAAGTACAACATACGAAGCCTTCTGGAGTATCAGCGTTGAGATTCCTCGAGACGGCGAATGCGATCTACGCCACTGTCTAAACTCATACTGCGCACCAGAGCGTCTAGCAGGCGACGAACTATGGCGTTGCCCTCGCTGCAAGAAAGACCGCGAAGCCGTAAAGAAAATCACCATTACCCGCGCCCCCGACACCCTCGTCATCCACTTCAAACGCTTCAGCGCCTCACGCACGGAAAGCGCCCGGAAAGTCCGTACGCCTGTTAATTTCCCGCTCCAACGCCTCGACATGGGTCCCTTTGTCGAACCACCCATGACGCCAGAACAAGAAAGATACGTGAGTGAGAAGGCCCGAGATGGACCTGCGCAACTTGCTGGTGTCAAGAGCGATCCTACTATGAATGGGCCGTATGTCTATAACGCCTACGCTGTTATCTGGCATATTGGTGCTACGCTTGGAAGCGGGCATTACATCGCTTTTGTCAAGGACAAGTCTAGGGGATGTTGGCGCAGTTTTAACGACGATAAGATTACGGATTTTGATCCCGGGAACCTGCCACCGCATAACCGTCTGCAGAACGAGAAGGCGTATATTGTTTTCTATGAGAGGGAGAGGGTTGCTGGTGGTGCTTTCTAGCACAGCGTCTGTTCATAAACACATTGAACGCTCCAGCCTAAAGTTTTTTTACGCGTTATTTGACTTTTGTTGCTGCATCTTGGGAAGTTTGGGTAAGCGACAGTCTTGTTAAGATTATACTTTGCGCGTGCGACGAATTATGTCTCTGGGACGAAACGGGGCATTGCATACTTGGCGTTGGGATTATATACCTTGTTGAATATCATTCCGTTGAGACGCAGCAGTGGCTTGTTACGTTTATGGGTAAAGTTACTGTGATGTTTGCGACACGAACTCTAGCTACCTTAATGTCATAGTTCAGGTCGTCGTGAGGCTGACAGCCGATGATCGGGCGGCAGGGATGGTGAGGGCCGAACATTTTTTGTGCGATAAGATAAGGTTTCTGACTCTCCACACGTCGTTCCCCAGACGCCGCAACCCCTCTTCAATTGACTCTTCTTGACTCTTCCTTCGAAACTTCTTATACCCAAACACTTGCAGATATGTCAAAGGGACGCGTTTGCCTTGCTTACTCTGGTGAGTACTTCTGCAACTAACAATTCCACGCTGAATGCGTTCAACGGCGTCTCACTGCGTTCGACTGCGTTCACCTACGTTCACCTTGCTCAGAGCCAATAAACTAACCCGAGTCATTAGGCGGTCTCGACACCTCCACGATCCTGAAATGGCTCATCGGTACGTCAGAAGCACATTCAGACACACCACACAATCTAACGCGTAGACAAAGAGGAGGGCTATGAGGTCGTGTGCTTCCTCGCCAACGTCGGCCAGGAAGAGCCGTGGGACGAGGTGGAGAAGAAGGCGCTCAAGATCGGCGCGAAGAAGATGGTCATCCTAGACCTGCAGAAGGAATTCGTCGAGGAGCTCTGCTTCCGCGCCGTCCAGTGCAACGCCTCGTACGAAGGCCGCTACCTCCTCGGCACCTCGCTGGCCCGCCCTGTCATCGCCCGCGCACAGATCCGCGTCGCGCAACAAGAAGGCTGCGGGTTCGTCTCGCACGGCTGCACGGGCAAGGGCAACGACCAGGTCCGCTTCGAGCTGGCGTTCTACACACTTCAGCCTACTATCAAGGTTATTGCGCCGTGGAGGCTGCCGGAGTTCTGCGACCGCTTCAAGGGCAGGCAGGATCTGCTGGACTATGCTGAGCAGCATGGTATTCCGGTCACGTCTACCAAGGCGAAGCCCTGGTCTATGGACGCCAACTTGGCTCACTGCAGTTACGAGGCCGGTAAGACAGCACATACTTAGAGATTGCGTATGAAACTAATAATCTAGGCATCCTCGAGGACCCCGACGTGTCTCCCCCCGACGACATGTGGACCATGACCGACTCCCCCCTCAACGCCCCCAACGAGCCCACCGACATAACCGTCCACTTCGAAAAGGGCATCCCCATCAAACTCACCACCCCCTCAAAGACGTACACCGACTCCGTCGAGCTCTTCACCGCGCTCAACAAACTCGGCTTCACCCACGGCATCGGCCGCATCGACATCGTCGAGAACCGTTTCATCGGCCTCAAATCCCGCGGCTGCTACGACTCGCCCGCCATGACCATCCTCCGCCTCGCCCATCTCGACCTCGAGGGCCTCGTCATGGACGCCCAGGTGCGCAACCTGCGCGACCAGTTCGTGTCCCACAACTGGAGCTACCAGCTCTACAACGGCATGTACTTCTCGCCCGAACGCGAGTTCATCGAGAACAGCCTGCTCTTCTCCCAGCGCAGGGTCAACGGCGAGGTCAGGATGAAGCTGTACAAGGGTAACGCGTATGTGCTTGGTCGGTCCAGTCAGACGGAGAAGCTGTACTCTGAGGAGGAGGCTAGTATGGATACGTTGGATAACTTTAGTCCTATGGATACTACGGGCTTTATTGCTATTCAGAGCATTCGGTGAGTTTACGTCCGGTGCATAGGTGCGGGTAGATGGGCATTTGCGCTAACACATGATAGTCTCAAGAAGTACGGTCTCCAGAAGGCGGAGGAGGGCGAGAACATGTCGAGGGCTTAGAAGGCTTCTTCTGATATGCATACGACGCTGACGTACTGGCGGAGGTGGCTTCATCGTGAGAATATGCATGATCAGGTTACTTATGCGTCGCCTGAGGTTACGCCGAAGGGGAAGGCGGGTTAGGATGGGGGAAGCAATCTCATGATGAGAACGATGATGAGATGAAAATAGATACCAATGATAAAAGTCATACTACTGATCTGGACATGTGGAAGACGTGTTGTCTGGTAATGAAAGATCTACTGAGCCTGTTGTCACATAGCATCCATACCGTTGACATAGCTCAGCCAAAGCTACCCTAAGCTGCCCTGATACGTTCATACGGCCTCCAGCATGTAACCCAAAAAAGACCCAACATACTACAGCAACCTCATTGGCTGTCGCGACTGCCAAGCACTAAATCCAAACGGGGGTTGAAGCTCTTCCGAGCGTCCCGATATCGGCTCGCTACCACGATGTCGAACGTCGCACTCAGGTTCGCGATATAGGTTATCGCATATTCATCAGCTTTTGGTTCTTGATGCACTGAAATTCGTATGTGGGGCGTGTGTTTCGTTTGGCTATGGTTGAGTGGTGTGTACTCGTCGTCTTTCTTTTCTCTTCCTTCCATCTTCCTCGTGAATCCTCTCCAGTTTCGCAGCTCCCGTCTGCATGTCTTCGTGTCTTGTCTGCCCTCTCTCTCTCTCTCTTCTTTAGCCTTCTCCAATTCTCGTTATTTATCCATTCTAGGACGTCGTGTCATATACACCACATGGTTATCTCCCACTGTCTCCTTCCAAGGTTTATCCCGCGTCCATGCCCAAGTGTTCACTTCTCATCCAGCTCGTCGATCCGCATCCTCACTAGAAGGATGCTGCCTGCGTTGTGCCTCAACCCATTCCTCAGTAGTAAGGTACAAGCTTGACCGTCGTCTGGGTCCCGCATCCTGCTGTTGTGCCTGCCCGGTGCTGCCGTTGTAAGTTCCTGGCTGGTGTGAAGACGGTCCTGTGTAAGGAGCAGGTGGGTTGTAGGCGGCAACAGGGTAGTTGGAGTTGGCCTGGGGTTGTTGCGCGGTTGGGTGTCGCGGGTATGGTTGCGTATGCATGGTGGGCTGATGCTGTTGTGGCGGGAAATTATTGACGAAGTTCTGCGCATACATCAAGCCTGGCTGCGGTATGACGACGTTGTTGATGGGGCCTGGCGTGTACATCGGGACCGGCTGGAAAGTAGGCTGGTAATGCGCATGCTGTGGAGCATACATGGTAGGTGCATATGGACTTTGGTAAGCCCCAGGAACATTGTAGTTTGTAAAGGTGGGTTCCGGAAGGGGACGTTGGTTGAGAACCCCATAGTGACCATGAGGCTGGTGGTACCCAGGTACAGGAGCAGGTACAGGAGCAGAGATGGGTGGCTCCATCGGGTAGAAGATTGGACGGGAAGCCATTTGATCGAGGGTGTACCACCCGTTCGCCGGTCCAACAGCAGCCATATCCCAGGATAGATCCAAATCCTCACTCTGAACTGCGTCCAAGTTCAGTCCGGCTGACTCAAAGTCCTCGGCTCGCAAGGCATCTTCCTGGCCGGTATTCCCTGAAGGCAGAGGCCCCAAAGCATTCGAAGGCCAATGGCCCAAAGTAGCCTGACTCGAGTTTGAAGGAAATCTCATCAGATCTGTATCAGGGAGGACATTAGCAAAATGATGTTGCGGGTAATGCTGGTATTGCTGGTATTGCTGCTGTGGCTCCACGAAGTTCATGTGCGAGGCTGGTGCCGTAACGGCAGGCGGCGCATATCCCGCTCTGGGATGGGCAGCAAAAGAGTTGCGAGGTGCAAGCGAATACGGAGCATATCGCTGGCTGCGCACGTTATTCTGCGGCGCGGACCTACGACCATACTGCACATTGGTCGCTACATGTGGGTGGTGCACATGCTCTCCTCGCGTATGGATGGCGGCCAACTGTTGTCGAAAAGCTGGGCTATGAGCAGGAGGACCAGGAGCCGCGTTGGTTGGCAGAACCTGAGGCCTATTCAGCCCCTGCTCGCGCGCGAGTGTGGCCTCACTCAGGTAAGCTGCATTTGTAATGTTACCGTGGGCATCCCGTCTTGCCCTTGGCGATCCCGGAAGAAGCGGCCGTTGTCGCCGCGGTGGTGGTGGTGTCGAGTCTGCACTGCGACGTTTGCGAGCCATCTTGAATGGTTAGATTACCAGGGAAAGATATGTCAGTAAGGTTAAAAAAAAATGTTGCTAATAAGATTGCAGATGTTGGCGAGCATGATTTATACGCAGCGTTTTCAGCACGCGCAGTGAAGTTCGCTAGAAAATACCAACTGGGACATGGTAAGAACATCTATCCGTGGTTCAACAACGTTCAACCATAGGTGTTTCTTCTACGCTACACACAGCAAACAACATACCAATATTGTATTTCCTTGCCCCAGGGAAGACGCCTACCTAAAGCACGCGTACACGTCCCTCTCGTCTCGGCCAAAATCAGCGACTGCTTCAGTAGACCAGTGAGACCCCCGTCGAAGCTGCATCGCTTCATAGTCCGATGGCTCCCAGTTAAAATCAGCATCTGGCTCCAAAGGAGGTATTCGCTTGCGGTCAGCCCCCTTTGGTGCCTGGCTTGCCCGCCTATCCGCGTGCACCTTACTGTCATCCTCCACTTTCCTCGGGCGCCCACCCCGGATTACGAAATTTGTCTTTGTAGGTCCACCGTTACTACCAACCTTAGTTTCACTGCGCACCTTCCCTGGGCGCCCACCACGAATAACCATGTCTCTCTTATAATTCCACCGTTGCTACCAACTCGACCATAGTTACGTTTCTCCGTGTGCAGCTTGCTGCTATCTTGCACTCCCCTCGGGGGCCCACCTCGAATTGCGAGCTTCGTGACTCTACCGCTCCGACCAACTCGACCATAGTTACGCTTCTTCGCTTCCTTGGCTCGCGACTTAGCTCGCTTTTCTTCTAATTCCCGCAACGCCATCTCTAGCACTTCGGTGTCCTCCTCCGGCGTTCGCCCGTCATCTTCGGACTCGCTAATCCACTGATCGATGGCTAGGGGTGAGAGCGGAGCAGATGAGGAGTCTAGATCTTGGTGGTCATGTAATTCGGAGGACGGAGAAGGGTGGCTGACTGTTGCGATGTCCATGAACTCCTCCGCTAGACCTGCCATGTCGGTACCGAGGAGGCTTGTAACTTCTTCTTGCCGTTTGCGCTGTGCCTTGCTTTGAGCGGTAAACGGGACCTCGATATCGTTGACTTGGTCCGCTAGGTCGGTCATCTCGCTGTCGCACATTTTTGGTGGATGATGGTGCTTTTATGATTTGAGTAGCTGATGTGGACAGGAGTGAATATCTGAAGGAGGACAGTTTCTGTGAAGTATTTAAAGTCGACTGAGGTGCTATATCGAGACAGCATTGTCTTGTATAGGCTATGTTTCGTTTGTCTTAAAGCTCGGTCATGTCACCAGGCTTCACTTTGGCGTACTTTAGGATCACATGACAATGCAGCAATGAAACAACCACAGTCTATTACAATTTTATACGTATCATAAGTATCCCACGCACCTACTCATACAAAGAAGAGTATCTACCGCTCTGCTGTGTCTCCGATCGAGAGTCTCAAACACTGTGACATGTGACCGTAGTCTTGCAATGTTTCAAGCAACGTGTAGTCATTTCACTCAAGCATAGCTTCCACCAAACATACTAACACTGCGGCCCATTCGCCAAGCACCCCAAAGCACCATGCCCAAGATCGCTAGGTTGGCAAACTGCCTGCAGATGACGAGCAGGAAGGTCGTAGCCAAGACGGAACTGTCCGACCATCCGGAGGTGTCGACGTAGAGGAGGATGATATCGTAGATGATGAAGATGTCGCGAAGCCAGATGAGAGGTACAACGGTGAAAACAAAACGAGCGAGATCGTTGCGTTCGGGTGACTGTAGAGCGTTAGTGACGGAACGTGATATAGTACTATAGAATAGAGACTTACACCATGAGCATTCTTGTTCGTGGTACCATACTCCCTCCACACTTCGATGGAAACACTCAGACTGGCTGCGACAACGATAGCTTCGTGCACGATGTAGGTAATTCTTGTCGCACGGTCATGGTGCATGACGTTCGACCAAGATAACAGCGCATCCGGGCCTGAGCTACCGGTACTGATGTCTCGTGCCTCTAGACCCAGGCCCCACGCTGCAATACCGGTACCCAACATGGCAAGCATGATGAACGTGTTCCAGATACGCGACATGGTCTTCGGCGTCGAGATGCCAGTACCGTTCTCTTGGACATGACTAGAATGGATCCAGACGCCGCCGTTGAGCAGCACGGTAAAGAAGATGGTTGCAAGCGTCGTAGCGAAAGTAAGCGCTGAGATACTCGAAGCGTAGTCGCTGCCTGTGAGAGTGTAGCCGCGACGGCCGTTCCATCCCAGGTCCGCATCGTAGTCGATCGTCCCGCTCGTCTTGAGGACATCGGATATGAAGCGACATAGGTACGCGACGAAGAGACAGAGAAGCGCCGGCCAGAGGAAGAGATAAGTTCCCAGTGTTGTCTTCAGCGGGCCATCACGCGCGCTGTTCTTGCCCGGTGCGGTGAAGCGGCGCTGTTTGATCCGCTGGAAGGTAGGTCTCGAAGCTAGACCAAGGAAGATCAGGGCGCCAGCTGCGGTGATGACATCGAGGGCGAAAACGGCTTGGTAGGATTCTCGTTCGTTGGTGATGTTGATGTTGGACATGGCACGCTGTGTAACAAAGCGTGTAGGTGGTTCGACTCAGTGAAGTTGGATTGCAGCAAAGTTAGAGCAAACCCCATCTTTGAAGGCATGGCAAATGATGAAAAAGCATGTCCTACACATATGACGTTGACTGCTGTCACAGGCTTGGCAATACGGTGTTGTGTGGATCTCTCCGGATGTGAGTGCCGATTGATGGCGGTTCCGGCAAGGACGGCAGGTATAGCGAAGTTGTCGTCGGGTATGTATCTTAGCTGCTGCTTCCAGCAAATTGTACAAGAAACGACAACCGTATGTTGAATGAGTGAATCGTATAAGTGGGTGCAAGCGTACAGATGATGCCGTGGATTTGGTCAACCTGTGGAGGTTGGGGAAGAGTCTAACTGGTATCTGGTTTAGTCGGCGGCAGGAGCGCGGACGCTAATTCATCGTCTAACCGCTTCAGGATCTGGCAGTTCGCCTCTCCTCCAATTCCGTTCCGCCCGTTTTCTCGAGACAATTCGTTCTCCTGGCGCATCTAGTGTCACTCCTGATTTTCGACATCATGGGAGGCTGAACATTCATTGGATGTGGTACAAGACCACCAGCACACTGCGCTACACGGTTAGAGACACTCGTCAGAGTTGTCGGCCTGGTTTGCAGGATTTGCGAACATACGCTGATGCAGCTATGCGATAAACACTACGAAGCGCGATATCGTACTTCAGGACGAAGTTGGACTAAAGAGACAGGTAAGCGTAGCAAGAAGAAAGGGTCAATTCTCATAAGGAAGTGAACAGTTCTGCTGAGCGATGCGCACGGCAATTGTTGTTCGCTACTTATCGTCTTGGTTCCAATGTTTGGATTTGAGATGCATCATCCGACGCGATATAAGTATAGAAGTATGGTGAGTATTCATCACTTTCACCTCGTGGCTTTGTGAGCCTCGGCGGTTACGTCATGTTGACGCGAACCAGTGTCGCGCTAGTCGGCTTGCAAGGAGACGCGTCGTGTGATCGATCGCTCATCCATCTCAAACCATCATCTACACGACAGACTTTGTCTCGCCCAGCACGCGCAACCGTCGCATTACGCCATTACTCTACCAAATATGGGATGAGAAACCCAGATAACAACGCGTTGTGATGGACGACAACATGCATAAAGTATGCATGGTCATGCGGCGTCCGGTCCACGCTCTGTAAGGGCAAATGGTGGGAATAACTCCAATCAACCACCGGATGCTATTTCGTTTGAAGCTGCTTTGCGACCACTCCAAAGCTGTTGTGGCTTGCGGCTGTATTAACGCGAAAGAGTCCAGTCGGCCACTGGTCCTCACACGGTAGTGAGATCCAACCTTCGTCTACTCATCTTGCTCTCGCGAAACCGACACATCAACATCACAGGCGTTCCACAACCCTTCGTCGATGTCACTGCCGCGACCAGGAAGCTCGACTCTGACTAGCGACGGTCGTGCACCCCGTCCCTCTCACATGAGCCGATCTTGCTGTGCCTCACGAACGCATCTCCCCCTGGAATAGCGGAGGATTTGCCTCATACAGTTCAGCTCAACAGTGTGTTGAGGCAGAAGTCGACCACAACTCGACCGTCTGGTAGACAAGATGTGGCTCGCATTTATAGCCGCCCTTTGCCTGACCGCAACGACCAGACGTTCCGTTCTTTCTCTGAGTGTCGGCTACCTGGTCATGTCCTCCCACGGTCACAACTGTTGATTCAAGGCGCATATCGGAAGTTAACAGGCGGCTGATGCATGCTCAAAGCAACTCGGTTAACCGGAAGAATCCTTTCAGCTCCTTGCCCAACCCCACGCGACGTCGTTATTTCCAAATGTGTAAGGATTCTATATGGCCGGGGTCGCTTCCCCCAGCATGGTACCCACTATGAAGCATGAGTACGAGTCAGTTTCCGAGGAGCTGTCTCGACAGACAAGACTGGTTGAGAGAGCAAATGGATTTCGGTTGATCAATACATCTCTCGAACCTGTTGGACATCCTTCTAGATCTCACAATGAGCAAGATTCTACTCACGGGCGCTACAGGATACGTTGGCGGCACTGTTCTCGCCCAGCTCATTGCAAGCACAGCACCGAGTATCAAAGATCTCACTTTTGACCTCCTCATCCGCGACGAAACGCAAGCTCAGAAGCTCAAAACCGTATACGGCTCCCGTGTAAACACTATCAAGTGGTCCGGTCTGGAAGACGTAGCCTTCATCGAAGACACAGCATCCAACTACGACATCATCATCAACACAGGCTCTGGCTTCATTCCCGAAGGCGCCATTGCTTTTGTCAATGGACTCGCTCGCGGCATCAATGCTGGCAAGCCGGCGCCATGGATACTGCACATATCAGGTTGCACCAATCTGTCCGACCGTCCCATATCGCAACCTCCACGACCCATACGAGAATGGAACGACGAGACGGATAAAGGCAGGATCTTCAGCTTCATGAGAGCGCTCGATGAGATGGAGCCCTACACACAGCGGACAACAGAAGTGGGCGTCTTGGAGGCTGCTGATGCTACTGGCGTACAAGCTATCAGTATCAACACACCATGCATCTTTGGCGAAGGCACCGGCTTGTTCAACAAGCAAGGCCTGGTCATTCCCTTGATCATGATGTACGTTGTACAGCATGGGTACGGTTGGAAGCTCAATGAAACAGCGAACTTCGATTGGGTTCACGTCATCGATCTCGCCGACATCTACGTTCTTCTCGTACGCAAGATCCTCGAACGCGAAGATCGCGGCGTCGGTTACCTCCCATCCGGCAAGAACGGCGTCATGTTCGCGGCCGTCGGGCGCACACTCATCAAGGACATCAACCAAGGGTGTCTGGACGCAGCATTCGCTGACGGTATCTTGCCACGTGAAGGTACCCCCAAGGAGAGGGAGATTCGGTCTGTGCCGCTGTACGAGATTGCCGATAAGCTCACTGCGGGTCGTCGTGATATTGCGGAGCGGGGTTGGGGTGGACATAAAGCTACGAAAGCTGTACTTGCACGCAAGCTATTGGGCTGGAAGCCAAAAAGACAGCAAGATGCTTGGGAAGATGAATTTCAAGCTGAGTTGATTGCACTGAAGGAGAACAGACGCATGGTAACTATGGAGAGCTGCATCGGTGCGACTAAAAAGTGAGCACCGAGGAGGTGGGCTTTCCATTGAGCATGCCATCTTCGAGACCTGCTCATGGAGCGAGAGGATCCATACTGCGCATGGACGGTCTCTTTCAGCTGGCCATCCTGAAGTTCCTCTCACCTCATACAAGGGAAAAACTGAACACCTAGGAGCCTACGTCGCCGTTAGGCTACTAACTTCGCAAGCTTTTATCTTAATGTAGGCTCTTGGGCGTTCGGGTTTTCCCTTGAATGGGGTGCTCTGGTGATCCTAAAATGCGAATAGAACTACGTTCCGACATCCCCGCTTTCGTTCTCATCGCGATCATGTCTGCAAAATATGAAAATCGCTTCCTGCTCAGGATAGTCTCGACACGTTCCATGCAACAGCGTACGCGGCTCACGAATCCTTCAGTCGGGAATAACATCCCATCGGAGC